AACTTTCCATTCGTTATTATATAATTAATTTAATATCAGCGTTAAACTAGTATGTAATACAGACTTTAAAGCCCGAACGTGAAGAGTTGGCCTGCTAGTAACGATATTGATAATAAATAAAATCAAACTGACGGTTGCGTTTTATGAAGTCGAAGAGAGACACAGAAGAGCGTGAATATATAACCTTCTTTGACCCCTTGCTTGGATTAAGAGAAAACAAAGGACGAAAGAAAACTAGAGAGAAAAATATGAAAAGAAACAAGTTTTTCTTTGCTTGAATAGAAAAGAAAAGTGAAAGAGAAAATAAGATGGGTCTCATATTTTATTTTCTCTCCAAATTTTCTCTCCGTATATGGAGAGATTTGGAAAAGAAAACAAGATTTTCATAATTACCCCTCCTCTCTCTTCTTCTGCATATTTATTTTCTTTTATTATATTTAAAATTTATTCACTTTTTATTTTTTATCTTAAAACAATGTTTTTATTAAAATAATGTGGTTTTAAAACATAATAATATGAAAAAAAATATAAATCAAATAATTTGATTTTAAATTATTCGATGATGCTAATGTTAGTATAATTTTTCTATTGCAATATTTTATTTAATTTAATTTTAAATATGATATATTTTGATAAGGACATTTTAGTCATTTAGATATTTACTAACTTTCTCTCCTCTCTATTTTCTCTCATCCATCCAAACAAAAAGGATGATGACAACTTCCCTCCTGTTTTTTCTTCTCTCTATTTTTTCTCCTCTTATTTTCTTTCCTCTCAACTTTTCTTTCCATCCAAGCAAAACATAAAGAATTCAACAAGGCAATGCCTACGTCATTTTCCATTTTTGAGTTTCTGATTTGGAGAATTATGTGGAAATCTCTACAGTTTGTTGCATTATATTACTTTTGATACTTACTATAATAGCTAATTGACTGATTTAAGTAAATTAAAAAATTAGTTTAATTAATTATTTATAACAAATAGTTGTTGTTTTTTCTAAAATATTCTTATTAATTAAGTGTATTTGTTAGAACTATCATTATTGCAAAAACTGTATTAAAAAAAAGATAAATATGAAAAACAAAGTAGATTATAATCTTATATTTATAACTAAAATAAAAATCAAACAAGTTATTGTATTAAGGATCAGGGCTAGTATTGTTTATTCATTTGAGTTTTTCCCATAGTAAAGACATGTCATAGGAAAAATGTCAAAAAAAGCTATAAAAATGATAAAACCCTAAATAAAGTATTCTTATAAGAATGTCTTGTTATTTGTAAGCGTTGTTAAGACACGTTAAAATGTAGTAGTGAGTCCTGGTTTGAAATTTAACAATTTTCAATGTCTTTTTTTTTTTTTGTCGTTCTCCCTCTGTTATATTATTCAATAATTCAGTTACCGGCAAGTTATGGTTTTAGATTATACTACTTCTTTCGGTAAAAAAAAAAATTATACTGCTTCTAATTCTTAATATAAAACTTAATTGACTAATTCGAGGATATTAAAAAAATTATTAAATTATTTAGTTAGTGTTACATAATCTTGTATTGTTAGATTATATATTAATTTATGAGTGAGTTAAATTAGTTTGATTAAAAACAATAAACACTTTAAAATAATTTAGTAACTTTCATAGTCTTACTAAATGAGTTAACCAAGTCATGTATTAATAACTTAAAAATACTATTTAGATTCATTCATTCATTCACAGAGACAGAGATGCTGATTGAAATGCCAGAAAGACAGATTTTGAGCGGCATATTAAATAACGGTTTAAATACTAACATATTTTAAAATTAATTATTTGTAAGTAACTATAAACCTTTTTAACTAGTTAATTATTAACTTTTATTGGAGACGATTTTGAGATTTTATAAAAAAATAAATAATTTAACTAAAAAAAATCGAAGGAAATGTGCGTATGGATGTTGAAGGAGGCCCAAGGTCGGGGGCTTCTGGCTGTGTGTCTCTCAGTCCCTTATTCTTGTAATCAAATGCATGTGCACCTCTTTAATTTTTCTCTCTTCTCAGAAGGGCTTCATACGCAGGCACCTAGGCTATGTTTGGATTGCAGTTGAAAAAGCCAAAAGTATATGAGAAAGCGTGAAACTGAGATTAGTGGCTTATTGTGGCTCAGAAAATTGTTTGGATGGACTTTTTTTTTAACTGACTTATGGAAAAAAGTAACTTTTCTAACTGACTTATCCAACGCAATCTGAATCAACTTTTCTAACTGACTTATAGGAAAATTGTGCAAAGCTTACGATTTAATTAGTCATGTGATTTCATTTACTTTAATTAGAAACCAAATAAATTTTAATTAATATTCTTGTTTATCTATTATGTATATTTAATTAATTATCTACCATGTGTTTTTAAATTTTTCTCCGTAACAAATATTTTTATTTTATAATCTCACAAATAAACTATTTATATTTTACTATAATAATTTTATATATTTTTAAACTATTATCACATTAAAAATATAAAATTTCAAACACTATTATTCAATAAAATCCATGCCTTTTTCAGTCATTTATAACTAAACTAACTTTTCTATTAATTATCCAAACAACTTTTAACTTTTTCAACTGACTTTTTATAAGTATCTATCCAAATATAAATCATGTTATACTAACTGACTTTTATTCTAACTTCAGTTACAAAAGTCAGTTAGACTATAAATCAGTTTTGTTTAACGTCAATCCAAACATACCCCTAATTGCAATTTCGAACCTGTGACGCGCTCGTAGCTGGTGATGGCGGGCTCGAGATGCGCCTGCTAATACCTAGCTTGCCCACTCAAAAAAAAAAAAAAAAAAACCACAAGGACTATCTCATTTCAGCTGGGCCCTTGGCATTGACTCGCGTACGTAGTCATTGTCCTGCATCTCCAGTCCTCCTATGGTCCATACTGTGACTATCTTGTTCGATCTTAACACATCCGACCAAAAACCTGAATTTTAATATGATTATTATTTTTTACCAGAATTTTAATATGATTATTAAGTAGTCATGATTATAAACTATCTCATTTAATTTATATAGTTGTTTGTGCCTATGCAGTTTTTCCTGCTGCAAAAAGGGAAAATAACTATACTGTTTCTAAATTAAATTGTCATGTTAATGTTGAAGAATTTTTTTGGGGGTCTCTGTCAGTATTGAATGATCAAACTTTCTCCTCTCGTGTTCGTGATCAATTGGTTTTTATATAAGAACTAGTGATAAAAATCATATTTTTTTAGAATTAGTGTATAAAATACATGGTAACATTGTGTGGATGTATTTCATTGAGTTGCGTTTGATTCAGTGAAGGGGAATGACTTTAATGAAAGAAAAAGAAGGAAGGGATTTTTACTGTTTTCTTTTCTGAATTGATTGGAGGGGAGGGAAGAAGATGAATCTCAATATACTCATTTTAGTTTAAAAGGGAAGAAGAGAAAAATAACTACAAGTTGACAAACACGTGTATCCTTATCTTTTTCCCAAAAAAAAGGTTTGATGCGCTAAGATATGGTAGTGGATGTTTAACTTAATTTATATAATTTTAATTACATAACTGTTAATGATTGATACACGAAATCATGATATGCAATCGCGGGCGTATAACTATATATATGGTCATGCATGCTTATGTTTATATAATGATGTGCACACATACATAACAGCGATGTTTAGCGGTAATACACTGCCAATGTATTACATACAACCCTTAATATAAGTTTTAATTTGCAGTTTTAATTACATCTCACAATAAGAATAAGAAGTGATACTGAACAACTTTTAATTAAAGATGAGTTTTGAGCATGATCTAGAGATAATAAGAAAAGGAAAAGATGGTTAAATTTATGAGAGGATTTATTTAGAACCACTTACAAACAAATTTTTAATCACAATTTACAAAGTACAAGGTGATTATGCGAAATGTGCATTTAAATAAGAAAAAAATATAATTAAGTTTTGAAAAATCATTAAAAAACTTCAACAACAATTTTTTAAACTTGTTTTGTAATTTTTTTTGGAAGCATCATTATAATTCTCTCTTTAAATAAAGCAGGCAGCTAAGAACATTTTGGCAATAATACAGAGTACATGCTTGGTAGGACTCCTATGACCGCACTTAACATTTCTTAAAAATGCACACTCTTTCCCTAATCAGATCAATGAAGAGCACAACGAGATATCATATCAAAGAAGGATCGGAGGAACCTGAATCGATGACCACGAGCTGATGGCGGAGCACGACTGCAAGAGGCGGAAGCATATGAGGCTAACACGAGGGCAAGCGAGCGATGAGGAGGGCTTACCCTGACGGGTTTAAATTTAATTTTACCCCGGCTTGTTTGGGGGTCCTAAGAACAAATATGGACATATTGGCTAATAAAAAAAAAGAGAATAATAATAACATCTTAAAGAAAAAAAATAATTACTAAAAATTATAATAACAATCCACGCAATCTGTAATAATAAGTTTCATAATAGGAAATGACAACTTTTAAAACTTATTATGTAATCATTCTTATTTCTTAAAACTTACTGTTTCATATATCCCTGCTTTCTGCAGTGGAGTGGACGCTCCCAAAAATTCTACAAAAAATTAATGTCCAATATAATTTTTATATTTTATTAATTATTCAATTCAAATATTTAAGCATATAATTTTTCAGTGATAATGTGATCGATGCATAATTTTACTAAAGATTTAGACGATAATTTATGATAACACTTACTCATTATGTTTTTAATAAACATTTTGTGTATCCGCTATACTTCCATAAAAATGCCAATAAAGATATAAAAACTGCATACATTTTTTTTCATTTTAATAAAATGATATAAAAGCCATGGCAAATAAAAAATTCATCAAAACAATATCGTTACCTACCGCCATGTTGCCCGCCAGCGCCCGAGCCCTAATCTGCTGCATCCCTGTTTATGGGAAACGGAGCACTGTGGATTAACTGATGGCTGTTTTGGTGACAAACTAAAATTCCAATTTTCAATTTTATCGTTATTTTCTGCACTCCACTCTCTCCCTGTAGCGGCGCAGGTTATAGTGCGGGTATTCCCCTCCCTTGCTGTAACGAGACGCTAACGTGCGCACCCTACTGTGTAAACGATTTCATTAGCGCCCCCGTCGCCGGGCACAAGTTGGGTATTGCCGGTTTCTTTCCCCGTGTCGCGCTCGCTCACTATCTCTTTAAAGGGCTCAGTCACTCTCGGATATCAATAGTATGCAATTTTTTCCTCCCGCTTTCTCCAGGATTTCGTTTTCAAGGTAAAGGCGTCTATTTGACTATTAACTTGGTCGCAGACTCACCGATTCAAGGAATCTTCATCAATAATTGTGTATTTGTTTATGTGTCTGTGAAGGATTGTCTTCAAATTCTCACAATATTTATATTTATACGTATGGTTGATTTATGATTCATACTGAAACTCGGGCTTTAACTTCCCGACGATGGAAAAGTGGAAAGCAATGATTCTTATTCTAAATTGGTGCATCTTGATTTGGGCGCTGAAGCTGGGCTGAAGGAATCATTATAATTGACGATTTTGTTGGAAGCCTAGGGTTAGACGAAAATGGATGGCGAAGTGAAGAGGTCTGGGACCAAGAAAAGGTCGAAACAGGTGGAAATTGGTGTTGACTCGGATGATAACGAACCCATTGGGTCTCTATTTAAGCTGAGGAGGCCACGAAACTCTAAGAACGTTAACTCGACTTTAGAGGGCACTGCTGATAGATTTCAGAATGCTGAGGCTACTGGGAAGAAATTGGTTGATGCAGAAGAGGATTCTGGGGGTATGGATGATACCTTAGCCAGTTTCCGGAAAAGATTGAAGGGTCCAAAGAGAGATCAGGGATCTGGAACCACCAGAGGAAGAAATTCTGCTTTGAATGTGGTTGCTAGTAGTTCTTTGGATGCTCCATCTCCAGTTAGGGGTCCGGAAAACGTGAATGAAGGGCTGGTTTTGGGTAATAATGGATCTGATACTATGGCTGAAAAAGCAGCAGACAGCAATCAAGGAAACTTTGAGCTACTTCACTTGGATCTGAAGGGAAGTGAGGGTCACACTACATCAAATGATGATTTGATTGCTTGGGAATCCAGGAGTACATTGAAGGATGAGAAAGGGTTGGTTTCATTGCCTGGGAATGGTTTACAACGCTCTTCTGAAGAACAGAAGGAAGACTCATTGTCTTCTATTTTCCAAAATGCAGAGTCTAATTTGAGTAGGAAATCTCGAGCATCATTAAGTTCAAAGCAGAAATCTGGGAGTCAGATTGCAAGCGATGGGTTGAACCCTGTTATTTTTAAAAGTATTTCAGAAACTGTAGAGTCTACGGCTGATTGTGGATCTAAATCTGTTTCTGCCTTAAACTCTGGGAGTAAAATTTTGAAATCTGCCAATGATTTGCCTCAAGGATCACATTCACATTCGTCTGCTTCAGCATCTGTAGTGGATAATAAAAAGTTTGGTCGTGGCTGTCTTCCAGAGGAAATTTCCAAGGACATTTTTCATTCAAACACTCAGAACGGACTGGCAGTTGGAGATAGCCAGCAAAAAGTTCAACTTGGTGATGTTTTGGAGTCTGTGACTGATGTCTGCGTTGAAGACAGCCAGCAACCATCTTTTGTTCCACTTGGAGATGCTTGCTCTCCCTCCCACCAAAAGGTTACATTTCAAGAAAGAATTGTTAGTAATGGTTTGGAGCAGTGTCCTGTTAGGTTACATGGTCGTGAAGAAATGGTTAACACTGCCTCACTCTCAGAAGTGGGGGAAGGGCCATGTGGCGTAAGTGAGACTGAGTTCAAGAAAAGGTCAACAGATAAACTGGCAGTAATGTGTAATGATAGAGGAGAAAATGACGAACTTGCTTCTATGGAGAAAGAAATTGCCTCATCTCCTCTAGTCTCCAAGTCCTTGAATAGATTACATGAAAATTTACTGAATGAGAATGATCCGCTGGTTTCTGAAAAAGTTTCGGAGGGATCCTCTGGATTCCATGCCAAGGTAGATGGTGGTAGTCTGGATACAAAAGATGAACTGCAAGATCTTGTTTGGGGTTTTCCAGCAGGACAAAATGCTGTTATTTCTGTTGGTAATTTACCTCCAATGATGTCTAACGAAGCTGAGGAGAATAAATTGGCTGTCCAGTCTAATTGCTCCATTAAACATTTAGAACCTTTTGTCATTCCAACTGATTCTGCTGTGTCCATTCAGAAATGCAGCTCAGCATTACATCAGATTCAATCTTCTAATGATACATCTGAAGAGGGATCTCTTCCAAATGATGGTCATCTTTATGCCAAGAAAGGAGCTGATGGAACCCCATCATTTGCAGAATATGCGGTCTCTGGATCCGAGTTTTCTGACAAACATGATAAGATATCAGCAGTTCAGCGTGCCATTCGTAAGGCCAAGAAGCGCAGACATGGAGATATGGCTTATGAGGGGGATGCAGATTGGGAGATTTTAACAAATGATCAATCTTTTCTTGAAAGCCAAGGAGTTGTAGGTGATGAACGCACCCTTAGACCAAGACTGAAGAATGGTTCCTCTTTGAATGCTGATGAAGAGTCAGAGAGTGTTACAGCAGCAGTATCAGCTGGTCTGAAAGCTCATGCAGTTGGTCCAGTTGAAAAGATAAGATTTAAGGAGATCTTGAAGCGGAAAGGTGGTCTCCAGGACTATTTGTATTGTAGGTCAGTAGATAGCCTTTTAACATGCTTTTGTATGTGCTTGCAATTGGTATTTCCTAGTGTTCAGCGAGTTTGCAATTTTCCTTTTGCCATACAAAAGGTTTCTTTCTTCAGTGTTGATGATTTTTTGTTCTTTTTGTTTTGGTTACTGAAGCATAAGACTTGACTAAAGGCCTCTTTTGGAAGTGGGGAGAGGGGAAAATGGTGGCAGAGGTTTGAAAAAATAGATGTTAAACTTACTTAAATCTGACAAAAACTAAGGCTCTTAGCTCATTGGCATTAAGAAGGTTGTTATATTCTTGGTTTTCTGGTCTGTTCTGGAGTGAATGGATGTAGGATATGGATAATTCATTTGCTGTAATCAAGGGACCAAAATAAAATTTTATGTGAACTTAAAGGACCAAAAGTGCCTTTTTGCCAGTTTAGTTTCTTTCGTTAATGGTGTGATATTATAGGACCTTGTTTCCTGACTTGTATTCTTCAGAGTCTCTAACAAAATTATACAAATCAACCTTGAAAGAATTTTATGGGTGTGGCATTGCGAATTATAAGATTAGCAAGGTCATGTTAAATACCTTTTAGTTAAATTGGGAATTTGATGGATTTTTGGCTGTTAAAAGATTTAGTTTTGTTTTAATTTGTTGACACACCGCACTTGTAAATTTAGAAGTTTTAACGAGTTCTATTTCTATGAATGTAATGGCATTTTACAGAAATCAGATCTTAAGTACTTGGAGCAGAGATGTCACTCGCATTTTGCCTCTTTCTGACTGTGGAGTCAGTGATACTCCATCTGAGGATGAATCTCCGCATTCTTCTCTTATTAGGGAAGTCTATGCATTTCTTGATCAATGTGTAAGTTCATTCTTCATGGTTCTGTGTTATCAATTTTATTTTCTTTACTCTTCTACTGAGAGAAAATGCTGCAGTGTATCAATAGCTTTAGTAATTCGAAATTTTAAAAACATTTGGCAGGGTTATATAAATGTTGGGATTGCCTCTCACAAGAATGCTGGAGCCAGTGCCGGGAATAGTTATAAACTTGAAAAAGAAAAGGGATTTGAGGACAGTTCCACAGCTTCCATGGCTGACTCTGAAGATGGAGTTACCTTCATTGTAGGTCACGCTAATAGGTCAGATGCTTCCATGAAAATTGATGGGCTTAAAGTTGACTATGTAAACTCAGCACCTGAAACTATAGAAGGCAGTAGGTATGGTGGTCCAGTGGTGTCAGATGTATCAAATATGCTGCATCATGGAGAAAGAAAAATTGATGATTACCAGGAAAATGACGGTATTCAGGCAAGTGGAGTTGGGCTCATAAACATTAACAGTTCTGGTCCTTCTTCCAACAATTCTGATTGCAGAATGACTTCTATTGCAGCCACTGAGAAAAGCAATGAATCTACCTCTGTTAAATATAGCTTAGATGATCAGATACCTGATCCATTGCAGTCTGTGAAAAAGGTAATTGTCATTGGAGCTGGTCCTGCTGGATTAACTGCTGCTCGCCACTTGCAACGTCAGGGTTTTTCTGTAACTGTTCTTGAGGCTAGGAATAGAATAGGAGGTCGTGTATTTACTGACCGTTCATCTCTTTCTGTTCCTGTGGATCTTGGTGCTAGCATTATCACTGGAGTTGAAGCTGATGTGGCCACTGAGAGAAGACCAGATCCTTCATCTTTGATTTGCGCTCAGTTGGGCCTTGAATTGACCGTGCTAAAAAGTGACTGCCCTCTTTATGACATAGTAACAGGACAGAAGGTTCCTGCAGAGCTGGATGAAACACTTGAAGCTGAGTATAATAGTCTTCTGGATGACATGGTATTGCTTGTTGCCCAGAAGGGTGAACAAGCTATGAAAATGTCTTTAGAAGATGGTTTAGAATATGCTCTTACAAGGCGTCGAATGACACGCTTCAGTAGAAGTAATGAAGAAGTTGAACAAAAATTTTTTTCTGGAGCGTCATTCAATGCCAAAAGAGGTGATGCTGAGGAAAGCATTAGCCAGGAGGAAATTTTAAGTCCTCTAGAGCGGAGGGTTATGGATTGGCACTTTGCTCATTTAGAGTATGGTTGTGCAGCTCTTCTTAAGGAGGTTTCGCTCCCCTACTGGAATCAAGATGATGTTTATGGTGGATTTGGGGGAGCTCATTGTATGATTAAGGGGGGTTATAGCGCTATTGTTGAGTCTCTAGGAGAAGGTCTTGTTATTCACACGGACCATGTTGTAACAAATGTGTCATATGGTAAGGAGCCTGGCCACAGTGACATAGTCAGAGTTTCTACATCAAATGGCGGGGAGTTTGCTGGTGATGCTGTCCTTATCACTGTTCCACTTGGCTGTCTGAAGGCTGAAACTATAAAATTCTCCCCACCTTTGCCTCAGTGGAAATGCTCTTCCATCCAGCGTCTTGGTTTTGGAGTTCTCAATAAAGTGATTTTGGAATTTCCTAGCGTGTTTTGGGATGATGCAGTGGACTACTTTGGAGCAACAGCAGAAGAAACAGACAGAAGAGGTCACTGCTTTATGTTCTGGAATGTCAGGAAAACGGTTGGGGCTCCTGTTCTTATAGCATTGGTTGTTGGTAGGGCTGCAATAGATGGTCAATGTTTGAGCTCTACTGATCATGTCGACCATGCAATGATGGTTCTCCGTAAGCTTTTCAGGGAGGATTCAGTACCTGATCCTGTTGCATATGTTGTGACTGATTGGGGTAGGGATCCTTTTAGCTATGGTGCTTACTCGTATGTTTCTGTTGGAGCATCTGGAGAAGACTATGATATATTAGGGAGGCCAGTTGACAACTGCTTGTTCTTTGCTGGTGAAGCAACCTGCAAAGAGCATCCTGATACAGTTGGCGGTGCGATGATGAGTGGACTTCGGGAGGCTGTGCGTATAATTGACCTATTGAATACTGGTAATGATTATACGGCTGAAGTGGAGGCAATGGAGGCAGCACTGAGACAGTCGGATACTGAAAGGGATGAAGTTAGGGATATAATAAAGAGACTAGATGCAGTTGAGCTTTCTAATGCCCTGTACAAGAGCTCTTTAGACGGTGCTCAAATCATTACTCGTGAAAGTTTACTAAGAGACATGTTCTTCAATGTGAAAACCAGCGCTGGTCGCTTGCATGTGGCTAAACAATTGTTGGGTCTTCCTGTTGATAACTTGAAATCTTTTGCTGGGAGTAAAGAAGGGCTCACTATTCTTAACTCATGGATACTGGTACTATTATATCCATCAATGAAATGTTCTCAAATTTCTGGATCGTAATGACTTTTTTGTGTTATTTTTATTTTTTTAATTTTAATATCAGCCAGTTGAATCTTTATCTTATGGTGATTGAATTTCGTAAATCATGTCTTCATAACTCTTACCAGGATTCCATGGGGAAGGATGGGACCCAACTCTTGCGGCACTGTGTGCGTCTCCTTGTGCGGGTTTCAACTGATCTGCTTGCTGTGCGCTTATCAGGTATATATATTTTACTTGTTATAATTAAGATATGCCTGCTAAGATATGGATTATATGATTTTGTTACTGCATCTTTACTATGTCTAGTATTAATGATTAACGGGTATAAATAATTCAACTAGATGGGAATCATTGCAGGGAGGAATTTTGGTGGTACAAGAATAATTGTGCATGTAGCATTTTAGAAGATGAAGATATGTTGAGATGGTCCATTTCTATCTTCTATGATCTCATTAATAAAACCCATAATTATTAGTCCGGGACATTTTCAACTAATTTTGTGGGTGTATATGCATTTCTTACCCTTTGAAATATCTAGTTATATAAGATCCGGTTATTTGATGATCAGTATGAAATATGAAAAATATAGGTAGCCAAATTATGAACAAGTTATGAATCGTGTGGCTTATCTTGGGCTCCTGCACATTCATGAGAGCCTCTGAGTTGATATGATCCCCACTGTTTCTCCTATACTTTTTGTTAATCTTCTCCGTTTTCTGGCTTAGGTATTGGGAAAACAGTGAAGGAAAAAGTTTGTGTACATACTAGCCGTGACATACGTGCTATAGCAAGCCAGTTGGTCAGCGTATGGCTTGAAATCTTCCGCAAGGAAAAAGCTTCTAATGGTGGATTGAAGTTTTCAAGACACGCAACTAGTGCAGATTTATCAAAGAGAAAATCTCTAAAAGATTCAACCTCAGGAAAGCCACCTCTGACTATGCATCATGGTGCTTTTGACAATAAAGGAGGTTTGCTGGCTTCTGCATCTGCTGGAAGTAGTTCACCTTCCATTGCAAATGTGAAGAAATTGCACAGCAAACAAGTAAGACAACAGGAGGCAAATGACTCGAGGCATAGCGTCAATTCCTCCAGGTCCCAAGGTTCAGTAGGGAAAGCAGTTACTAAGGAGGAGGGTAACTGTTGTGTTTTGTCCGAAGAAGAACAGGCTGCCATTGCTGCGGCAGAAGCTGCTCGTGCTAAAGCACTGGCTGCTGCTGAGGTATGTTTCTTATGGAACTGTAGTTCTAATGACTGGAACTGTTGATGTGATGCCTAAGTGCCACTAGAGATCAGTTGACACTCACAAGATGGATTTTTTTTTATGCCACTTGTAAATAGGCTACCCTTTGTCATGTTTTGGGCTAAAGCTCATAAATTCTCGTCAGATTTTGGGTTTACTGAGACTACAAAATTTGAATCCGTAGATATTTGTTGTGATATATTGTTGCACTGCCATACCCTCTATAGCCTATTGTTTCTTTGTCAAATTACACATTAGCTTCCTGAAATCGGTTTGGGTTACGGCATGTTGTACATTGTAGACATTTTACTTCTCCCTCTGTTACGAACATTGGATGACCATCTAATCCTTAGCTCCTGTTGATTATGTTTTTATTCTAACCAACTCCTTCAACTTTAGTTACTGTGGGCAGTTGGGAATCCTTAATTTCCCTCCCCTCCCTGTGGATTAGTCTTTGTTTTCTATAATGTTTGTCCAATTTTCGTTTTTGTGATGCATTAGATCAGATTAAATTAGATCAAATGCTATTCTAAATTTGTCTTGGCTTTTTCAATCTGACTTAGATGTGCTTCTCGCTTCCTTGGAGCTATGCATTCAGCTAATTTTTTTCTTGGATAAATCACACATTTGTATGCGTTAATTACATGTGATGGTTTTTTGATAGGATTGAGTATTTTAATGAAGTAATATTTAAGCTATTGCAAATATGGAGCATTTGTCCTAGTATTGATCTACCATATCACTAATTTATTATTTTCTTAGCTGATATAGCGAAGATTGGATTTCTCAGTGCTTTAGCAATTTCTTCTGGTATAATTTTATCCATGAAATTTGTTTCCCTAGCAAGTAATTCATTGGAAATATCCCCGTCTTGTCGGATCAAATGTTTCCTTCCCCATCTCGGTTCCCGTATTTCTTGGAAGATTCATTTGTTCTTGTTCCTTGCAGGCTTATGCCTCAGCAGAAGCCAGGTGCAATACACTGCTGCAGCTTCCAAAGATACCCTCATTCCATAAATTTGCTAGACGGGAGCATTACCCATTGAATGATGAATACGATAGTAGGAAAAAGTGGTCTGGGGGGGTTTTAGGAAGGCAAGATTGTATTTCAGAGATAGATTCTAGGAATTGCAGAGTAAGGGACTGGTCAGTTGATTTTTCTGCTGCTTGCGTTGACCTTGACAATGCCAAAATGTCAGTTGATAACCTATCACAGCGGAGTCATTCAAATGAAATTGCCAGCCACTTGAATTTCAGAGAACACTCAGGAGAAAGTGTTGCTTTGGACAGCAGTTTATATACTAAAGCATGGATTGACACAACTAGTGGTGTGGGGATTAAAGACTATCACGCCATTGAGAGATGGCAGTCTCAAGCAGCTGCAGCTGATTCTTACTTTTCTAACCCATCCATACATTTGAAGGACGAGGAAGAATCAAATGCCTGTTCAAGATTACCCAGCTGGAAGCGTGACTGTATGGCAAATGAGAGCTCTGTTTCACAGGTTACTGTAAATAGGGATGCTTCCAAATGTCATACTCGAGGGGCAGATCGCATTAAACAGGCTGTTGTTGATTATGTTGCATCACTACTTATGCCCCTTTATAAAGCGAGGAAACTGGATAAGGATGGGTACAAGTCTATAATGAAGAAAAGTGCAACTAAGGTAATTTCATCCTTCAGTCTTTTTCTGTTCTTTTCTATTTGCTAAATTAACATGTTGCTGCTATGGTTTCATGGGGAAGAAAATTATAAAGAATAATTTATCTATTGATAATCCTAATGGACTCTAATGTCCTTTACATGGTCTTAATTTCCAGGTGATGGAGCAAGCCACAGATGCCGAGAAGGCCATGGCTGTTCATGAATTTCTAGATTTTAAACGAAAGAACAAGGTATGCATCCTGTTTTTGGCCTTTTGCCATTAATAAACTATTGCCATGGGTGTTTCCGTGCCTAGCACTTGCTTCGATAGCTTTATATTCATGTTGATGTTGTTGAAATGATTTCCTGCTGGAAAGACTACTCTCGTGGTTGGAGTTTTGCTGAAAATTTAATGATTTCAACTTGTTGTCTTATCCTGGTTTTTCACATTGTTGATAATGTCTTAGGGAGCAGGTCCTTAGACTCTCGTCTTTGTCAGATATATTTTCTTAATTTCTTGGCCTTGGTCTCTCAGCTTTATTCACTGCATGCCTAAAACGCAGATCCGATCCTTTGTGGACAAACTGATTGAGAGATATATGGCAGTGAAGCCAGATGTAAAATCTTAGTGTTCACAAGGCAAAATGGCTTGCGACTTGCCGCACGTATGTGTGAAGGACTCGGCTCGATTTCCTTCATTCCTCGAGTTTTGATGGCCACGGACATGGCCTTGGATGAGTGTTGAAATCTGCCAGTATAATCGGTCGAGATGGTGCCACTGCAGAAGCGAATAGCCTGTCCAATCAAAATCGAGTGGGCTTTATTGCAAATATCTTTCCCTGGCAAACTAGACCAGAATATTTATTATGGAATACTCCATAAACAGGCTTTGCTACTATATAAACAGGTTCAATGTCAGTTGGTTCCCCACTATATGACAGCATTGGCAGGTTTGAAGAAGATAACAGATTGCATTCTTCCATTGTTTCATTTTTCATCGAGGTTGTCCCTGGGGTTGAAGGTTTAGGCCCTGTTTTTATCAAGGGGTTTCTCGTTACGAGGACATGACTTGATCATATCAATTGTTTATTTGTACAGATTAGGATCGCTTTAGTGATGACAATCATATACATCTCAAGAATCATTGCTACGGTTATGCGTTTCGGATTGAAACTATGCAGTCTATGAGATGCGAAAAGTTTAAAGTTTTAAAATGTGGGCACATGAAGGGTAGGCTTATATGTTCGTAATAGACACTGAATAAATAGTATAAAAATGTAATTTTTTCCCTCACAAATAATTCAAATGTAGAGTAATTATGTTCATGATAAGTTGTTAACCTATTTATGAAGCAGGTTAATGTTGTAATTTTTAATTAGAATTAAATAAACATTTTAAATTTGTTTATATCGTTAATATCTCTATAAATTATATTTCCTTTCTTTTTCTGCTCAAGCCCAAGTCGTTTACGAGAGTTTCAGAATGCAGGAAAATGTTTTAAAAATATTACACCCGCAGTTATAAGGTATTTGCTTTATTTAGAATTTATGTCATCATCTCTTTCTTGCTTGTGACTTGAGTGCGGTGTACATGTGTGGGTGCTTCCCGGCTTCGGCCCTCTATAACGGATTGCGGGGTGAGATAGTTACTTTGAATGGCTTGAGATGATTCTTGGTATTGCTATTTGATAAGCTTGGCTAATTTCTTGGCCAGTATTTTCTGCTACATATTGTGCTTACTCATTTTTCTTCTTGTTGTTAGGCTGAGAAAGATTATCATAACCAGATGTGAGGTATTCTCTCCTTGCTTCTTTGGTTTGATGTTTATGCCAATTATTTCCTTTACAAACGGTATCCGGCTGCTTTCTGCGTTACTGTATGTTGTCCTTTCAGTGATTTGCGTTGGAAGTTTGACAGGCGTCTTGCATGCCTCTGCTTTGGCAGAACCGGTGAGCATACATTTCTTTTTTTAATGGAATGCATTTTTTCCCTTTCGGTTCATATGTTTAGTCAATCTTATATCGTACAGCGACCTTCGAAGAATGCTAGGAAGAAGCATATAGCGAGTTTCGTTTCTTTTTTTTTTTTTGTGTGTATTTTTTAATGCCCTTTTCGTACCCTTAATTGGGCAAAGGTTGCAAGTTCTGCGTAGCTGCCTTCCACATTCCCGTCTTACATCTATCTTGGATTTACGTTGCGGATGGTCGGCGTGGGTTTTATTTTACCGTCATCGAATAGAAAGACAAGGGCTAAGGGATCGGGGGGAAGGAGGAGTCGTATCGTCTGGTTAGACCACTCATTACAAATCTCCTTTCGTATATTAAATTTTTAGCCTTCACAAATTAATGATATAACTCTTATATTAAAGAGTAGAAGTAATGATATATTCTATGAGAGTGTTGGGTAAAAAAAAAATCTTAGTTTTAAAAATAATTTTAAAGTATACGAAGTGAATATGCAGAGAAGTTTGTTTCGATTTAAAAAAAAAAAAACAATTTTAGCATAACTGAAACCTCCTTATGTATCAAACAAATAGCAAGTAGGTAATGTATGTACCGTCATTGTTGGATCAATAATCAAATTTAAAAGGTGTCTGGTAACCCTTAAAAGTATTTCTAAAAAATATTTTTTCGTAAAATGAGACAAATTTTTTCACATATTTACTTTGTAAATCGTAAAAACAGTTTTAAAATTACGGTTTGATTTCCATCTAAACATCTATTTAATCTAAGAAGTGTGAAATTAATGTTTTTGCTATTGCAAACATTCAAATCATCTTCGCAATGACCATCCATATGCTTATCTACCTAAAAGAATTATATATTTATGTATATGATATAAAAACTCTAGCAAAATCTCTTATTTATGATCTATAAACTATTATTTATTTTTTAAACTTTGTACAGCGCACAAAATTATCCTACGTATGGATTATGCCAATGAGATGCAGGTAATCCTAATAAGATTGTAAAGTTAATTATGTGATGAGAACAAGTTGACTTATTGAAGCATCAATCCTCATGAGTTTTGTTTTTCTTTGTCAGTCTAGTTAGCATGTTTTTCTTTCATTATATTAGACTATTAGTATAGTTTTATTTATTTAACAAAAAAAACGAACGAGATGAACATGCATGTCCCGTTTTGACTGAAAATGAGACGGACATATTCACATCGAATTATATACATATATGCTGGTTAAAAGGTTCCTTTGCATGCATTATTTTCTCTTTTTGTGGCGTGATTGATTACTTATAATATCTACAAAAAAAGAAGAAGAAAACTAGTATTTAACTTCACTAGGGGGTGTTTGGGTGATGACCCAAATCATGGTTTGGGGAAAAATCACCCAAACATCATAAAAAAAAAAAACCAAAACTATGGTTTTAGGTCAAAATTATGGTTTTGGCAGAAACAAAAATTTTCTGCTTATGGAAAAAAATAGAAAGCGTGAGAGCCTATGAGATATGTATCTTGTTGTTTTTTCTGGCCCAGATATACCCTTTCCAATTATTCATCTCTTTCTCATTGTTTCAGACGCAGTAGGAGAAAGAGCCTAAGAGTAGATCTCAACAATAATATGACTTTAACACCATCAATTATTTTTTTATAAATATATTTAATCTTATATCTCATAAATATATACACATATTAATTATTTATTAATTATATTATCTTATGTATTATTAATTATGTTGATAAAAAATATATTATTAACAATTTTATTCTTTCAAATTAAAATATATAATAAAATCTATTTTTTTATGTAATTATCATATTAATTTATACCTTTTTAGTAATTTGTATATATAAAAAGTGCTTCTAATAACAATTATCCAAATACTCTTACTTCTCAAAATCACTTTTTCACAAAATCTATTCTTTCCAAAATCTATTCTTCAAACTATGGTTTGGTTTTATCCAAACACCTCTTAGATTACAATAGTAAGACTAAAAAATAGTTTATAAAATTAAAGAATGAAACTAAAATATTAAGTTAAATGATAAAAAGTACTTCTTCGGTCCTTAATATAAGACCTAATTGTTGAGTTAGTCTTGATCCTAAATATAAGACCCATTTTTCATATTTATTAATTTTCTCTAAATTACCCTTGTGGATACTCCCTCAACTATAATCAAGTAGAAGAGGAAGGAGGTATTAAGAAAGATGATTATGGTATCTTAAAAAAAACATGTCATATTTTTCATAATTAATTAACTTAACTTAATTTTTTAATCTAATTAAATTAGTTAAATAGATTTTATATTAAAGATCGGAGGAGCATATTTTGGCTGAATGAATAAACGAATCGTGGGCAACTGATTGGAGATCCATTAGATGACTAATGGGACATCAAAGTATGCCGCCATGGACCGAGTGAAAACCAAAAGGATTTCCGTTGCCGGGAATCGAACCCGGGTCTTTCGGGTGAGAGCCGAATATCCTAACCAACTAGACTACAACGGATGTTTGGATGCCTTGTTGGAATTTCTATACTTGTACAAGTGATCTTGCTTCAAACCACTCCAAGCACCCGAACTCGTAGAAGATAGAGTTGCGAGGGGAGGCATTTGCAGGGTTTAAGAGAACAAACCAAACATGGCGATGGAATCTTTGAACCGTGTCGGCATTGGTCTTTGCACTCCTCGACTGCGTCCACCACTTCATCCTCGGAAGTCTAATAAAACCAATTCTCATAATGGCGGCGGCAGCGGTTCTGTGGCGGCCACGTGCTCCGCCAGCAAATGGGCCGAACGCCTCATTTCCGATTTTCAATTCCTCGGGGACTCCTCGGACCACCACCATTCGATTTCCTCATCCGTCGCTACTCTCACTCCCACTCTGCCTCTCCCTCCGAGACTCGACCCTCCCGAACGCTATGTTTCCATCCCCCTTGACTTCTATCGGGTTCTTGGAGCAGAGACGCATTTCCTTGGTGACGGCATTCGAAGAGCTTACGAAGCTAGGGTCTCAAAGCCTCCTTCGTTTGGGTTCAGTCACGACGCGTTAATCAGCCGCCGACAAATACTTCAAGCTGCATGTGAAACCCTTGCCGACCCAGGATCAAGGAGAGAGTACAACCAAAGCCTTGTCGATGACGAGGAGGGAACCATTGTCACCCAAGTCCCCTGGGACAAGGTAATTCTACTGGTTCTCTTTGAGAACATTATTAACCTCTAGGGTGGAGATGACTTGAATATTTGGGACATGCATATGTGCCAGTTTTAGGGGGTTGTTTGGAACATAGAAAAGTGTTTTTTACGCAAAACAAACAGATTCTTCTATATATTTATTTTATACATCGTAAAAGTACTTCTAAGACTATGGTTTCCATCCATACACCCCCTTAGTCATAAGTAGGTTCCTTCTCCGTCAATGAAGTTATTTGATGGCAACGATGCCTTTGTAGGTTCCTGGAGCTCTATGCGTTATGCAAGAAGCTGGAGACTCTGAGTTGACACTGCAGATTGGAGAAAGTTTGCTAAGAGAGAGACTGCCTAAATCGTTTAAGCAAGATGTTGTCTTGGCGATGGCCCTTGCTTACGTTGACTTGTCAAGAGACGCCATGGCGTTGTCTCCTCCTGATTTTATTGCTGGCTGTGAGTTGCTTGAGAGGGCATTGAAGCTCCTACAGGTAAACCACTGAAATTCCTATTGGCCTGGGTCATAGAAACTTTTTCTTTGCTGATATTATTACAACTTATCTATGGCAATAGCTACTAGAGTACTCAGGATGAACCTTTCTATTGTAAAAGTTTTACAGGCCTCTCTGTCATTATCACCTGAATGCTAGTCTTGTTTAGAATAATTATACAGTCCTCAGTTAAGCGCTGAAGTCAATTCGGTGCTACTTTGTGATTTAACATGTCAGGCAACGCACTGCCAATTTTAAATTGACAACAATGACCAGAGTATGAAATTTTGTTCTCAAAGAAAAGAGTATGACTCTTTTAATTGGATTATGTCTGAGCTTGATGACCATTTGACTCTCAAATTATAATATTATGATTAGTAATTTATGCATGAGAACCTAATATTACGACGCATATATCATGATGAATTAAATGTAGCTGCCATCCTGTATGCTACCCAAGAAAATTTGATCTTTGTAGGAAGAAGGGGCCAGTGGCCTGGCACCGGATTTACAGGCTCAAATTGATGAGACACTAGAAGATATTACCCCACGATGTGTTTTGGAACTTCTAGCTTTACCTATCCGTGATGAATATCAATCAAGGAGGGAGGAAGGTCTTCATGGTGTACGCAACATTCTATGGGCTGTTGGAGGAGGAGGGGCAGCAGCAATTGCTGGTGGCTTCACCCGTGA